TTCATATGAATTCAAAATCTGAAAAATAACGGATCATTTATATTTATCATTTTATTATTTTTTATCTCACGTCAATTTTAATTATTATATTTTATTTCATATGAATTCAAAATCTGAAAAATATGTAATTCTTCCACGAAAAATATTGTGTTCTTCAAACTCATATTTTTTTAAAACATTTTTTTTAAAATAACATTTATCTTATTAGAATATTAAGTGAGTTGTCTCACACCGTTCATAGATTTAAGTTATAAGTCTAATGGGCTATTCCTCCTTCCACCAATTGGTTTTGAAATGGAACCTTACTTGGGCTTCATCTGGGTTTTCCATGTTTGGTGCGCTTCATATGCGTGGGACCACACTCGGTTTTCCCCCCGTTTCTGACATGTATCGGAGCTGGTTTTATTGGAACCATGCGATGACGTACCCATTTTCCCTCACGTATCCGTTTATGGGAGTCTGTTTCTATGGGGCACCCAATTTCGTGTATGGACTTGGGTTTTCTTATTAAGAACTCATAAGTAAGGGGTCGTATTAGAATATTCACTTGTGAGTTGTCCTATGTGAGTTGTCTCACATCGTTTATATAGAAAAAATAGGTCTAATTTATAAGTCTAATAGACTACTTCTCCTTCCACCAATTAATTTTTAGATGGAACCTCACTTGGGCTTCATCTGAGCTTTTTTATGTCTTCCAATCCCACGAAATTGATCTCGTCCATAACGAAAACGGCCCATTAGTTTTTTTTTTTTTTTTTTTTTNNNNTTTTTTGGGAGCTTAAATCTACCTTGAATAATACCTCTATATAAAAATGGAATATTTACTAAGCTAATTTCAAAGATTTGATTATTTGTAGGCAATTCCAAGAGAAGCCAAAGCATTTGAGCTTGGAGAGACAATTTACTATGTAGTGGTGGTTGTGAGTGCTATAATTTGGCAGTGTTTTTTCCTGGGAATAATTGGTGTGATATTCTACTCTTCATCCCTCTTATCGGGCGTCATCATCACCGTACTACTTCCGGTAACCGAAATATTAGCCGTAGTTTTCTACCGCGAAAAGTTCCAAGCTGAGAAGGGCCTTTCTCTTTTCCTCTCCCTTTGGGGATTTGTTTCCTATTTTTATGGCGAGGTAAGAGACAGCAGCAACCAGAAAACTGTAACTAAGCAGAATAAGAGCGAAGAAGAAGAAATTACTGACCAGCTGCCTGTTCAAAATGGTGTTGCTCCTTAATTGATTGAGCGAGCTCGTGTGAAGTATATTTTGTGTAATAATATATAGTGGATGGATGAATTGCCAAATACTAGAATGAATTTGGCTATATATATATATCTGCTCAAGGCATATTTATTTAGTGTATGAAATCATGTCATGGTCATATGGGACATACCTCATGAACAATTGAGGGACCTTTTCAAATATCTCAACAGCTCCCGTCATAACATAGCTGCGTCGTGAGTTAGTTGAAATTGTTGAGAGCCCGGTCCAATTTTCTCTCTTTCCATTCAATCTATTAAATGAAGGACTCCAAATACAACGCACCTTGTTAGGTGTGCCAAAGGCGCACGATAGTAATACTTATGGATGGCATTTTGTTGCGGAGTTGCTTTCAGTCTACTGACGACAGGTTGAGCCCACGTTCAAGTAAAGGCAGTCAAGTATGACTGACACTCAAGTGTGATAAGAAAGATCAATTCCTTTATTAGTCATGAACTCAAAGTATGATTTTAAATAAAAAATAAAAAAATTAATTCTCAACCACATATATATATATTTAAAAAAAATATGCACACTTTTAATTAAAATGTTATGGTTTAAAGCTTTTATGCCAAATTCTACCAAAGGCTTCTTTCAGTTCTAAAGTCAATCAAGAGATTCATGATATAAACATGTATATTTTCAAATAATTACAATGAACTGAACCGTCTAATAATTAAATATTTTCAAATGTCCTTTCAGATTGCATCAACTTTAATTCACGGTTTACCGACTCACATAATTTTAACTACACATTACTTTCAATCACTTATCTTTTACTTTTACATCAAATCAGTTTTAATCATTTTATTTTGAATATTATTTTAATTCAAACTCAAAATCTAACTCAAATTTAACTCATTCAATTTTTTAAAACTAGTACAACGTCCGTGTATTACACGGGTGCTTGCTAATTTTATATATAAATTATTTCTAACAATTATTAAAAATATGATTGATTCTTAAAAAGAATCTTTAATTGAAAATTATTAATTAAATGTTTTATATTGTATTTTAAATTTTTTTAAAAATACGTATGGTAAGTGTATTTTTTAAATTAAGTATATTAAGTATGGTAAGTGTATTTCTTAGATTTCCTTTGATTTTGATTCCATAATTTTCATTGTATTCCTAAAAAAAATTGAATAAAAAAGGTATGCTAATAAATAGAGATTTTGTTAATTTACTATTTTTAGGCAATAATTAATGAAATTGACGGGAAAATATTTCTAAAAATGAATTATGTTAATTCTTATTATATATTAATAGATTAACTATAATTTATAAACGAGCATGCCACATGACAAAAGAAAAATGATGCATGACTTTTCATATTGGGTAAAATGAAGCGCGTGACTCGGTCTCCGACAAAAGAAAAATGATGAGACGAGCATGTTTGTATACAAAAATTTTCACTCAACATTTCATTCAACTCAAAATCTAACTCAACTCTAAAAATATGAAAGACATCACAACAAGAAATGTGTACATGATCCAATTTTAAATCCAATTATTAAACCAAAACAAGATATAAGGATCAACCTTGGGAACATTTTGTTCACTATTTTATTCCAAATTCCAATAAGAGCAAAAACCCGATTTCTTTCTCGTGGGACTCTGGATGCCTAATTTTATGTTATTAATACATTTTCTATTTTCATCGTGCTATGAACCCAGTTTGATATCGCAATCAAAACAGGACTTAAAACCCTGATGATATGGAAAAATAAGCACTCACGGAAGAGAAGAATTCTGGCAAAACCGCTGACAATCGAAGAATACGCAAAGCGGCGGACACCTATATCGAGACAGATGTCCCATTTTGCATTCAAAACATGCTTTGTCGGGATCTCAGCTTTGCTCTCGTCGGACATATTTCTCTCACAGTTGCAGGAAGAAAAATGAAATATTTGATGGAATTTAAAAATTCAACGCAATTTTTTTTTTTTTTTTTTT